ATATTAAAAATATTTTGCAAATATTTCGAAATATTTCGCATCTTTTGTGAAATATTTGAAAATTAAATTTCACAAAATTCTCAAAGTATTTTGAACACTTTTACAAATTTTCAAAAAATTTTAATAAATAATTTTACAGCTTTTTTATATTTCATAAAATATTGCAACAATATAAATTTAAATTATTTGAAATATTTTAAAATATTCTACAAAGGATTAAAATATCTAGCAATAGACTTATTAAACTAATCGCAAATTTAAGAATTTAAATTAAGTATTTATTAGATACCACTTTAATTTAAAGCTTTTTTGAAATATTCAAAATATTTCGATATGTTAAAGGAGTATTATTTTTATTGAATCAGTATTATTAAATATTTTTTATATATAATACTTTAAAAATATTTCAAAATATGTTAATTATTTAAAAATTTTTATTATATTTTATTAGTTATAGAAAATATTCAAATATATCCAAAGTAATCTTAAGTAATTTAAATATATTAAAAATATTTATGTTACTTTAAAATATTACGCAATAAAGGTGTGGTAGCTTAGTGAAGTGATCTAGTCGTCACCTCACCAAGTAGCAAGTTTAGAGTTCAAATTCTATAGATGATGTTTTTCAAAAAATAGATTTGCATTAGATAACGATTATCTATTGATCGGTTGGATCTACAATCTGTAATCTTGGTTGTACCATCTTGTTATAGAAGCTTCAATGCAAAAATGCCAAGAAACCAGGATGATCAAAACCTGTTTAGAAAGACCCAAGTAAGGATGTAGTGAATACTTTCGATAGTACTACAGGAAGGTTGAATTTGGAAGTGATAGCTAAGATTGAAGAACCGAACAACAACAAGATCCTTAAGTAGGAGAGATTCACCAATCTGACTACCAATTGGAGTAAAAGCTAGCACACTAACCTAGTTAACCAGCATGGGAAACCAGGGTGGTTATTTATCATAACTGGGATTTGGATGTTAGATTCTACCTAACGATAAGAGCTAGGCAATTCCTGAAGACTAGCCAGACCCAATTGAAGGAAAAGAACATGTGCTATAAATCATATACTATGATAAAATAGGGCACAAGATACCTAGAGCCTAGCCAGAGTCAAATCTTCTAGGTTGCAGGTTGGAAGTAAAGGAGAGACCAATAAGGCAAGAATAAAAAAAGAAAAACCTGAATGTGAGTACTAGAGTTGAAATGAACCTTACAAGGACATAGCAGTTCAATTAGATTATACCAAACTGCGAGTAGGAGCCTTAGCAACTGCGCTGACTAGGTCAGCCAGATATGGGATACAGAAGGCTCTGGTAGGTTTATTTCGAGGATAGCCATGCATCCGTATAGAGAAATGCAAGCTAGTAATTAGTTAGTGCAAACCCAAAATAAATTATAGAAGTCCTAAGGCAGAGTGCACAATCTAGTGGAACAGGCCAGATGGTAGTTTCCAGGTTAGTATAATATGCTAAAAATAGTTAGAATCAGAAGGTTTAAATGGGTAACTCCCTAGTTTGGTTATAGGTATAGCATCTAGTGTAGAACCTGTAGGCAGACTACTTAAATAGATACTTAAAAGGTGCATATGTGGCTAGTTGTATCTTCATTGTAACTATAATAATAAATGATTACTAATAAAGAGTCTTCATGACCAAAGAGATCACTTTAACACCGAAAAAAAAAAATATATATTGCACAATATTTCGAAAATATTCAAACCTTTAATATAAGGGGCGTGCCATTTATTACCTGATTTTTACTATGGATACATAGGGTTCACTAGTGATCATGTCTATATATATAATATATATTAACAGCCACTGAGCAAAGACGGAATATGGATCATATAGTAGTACAAAAGGTCAGATAAATGAACATACTCACACAAAGTTACAAATCATAAAGTCAAAGGTTATGTAGTTCGTTAGCCAACAGGCTTGTTTATTTTTTTTTATACATTTAAAAACTACACTTAATAGTTCTAACTAGATAAACTAATATTAATTATGGATTCTAACATTTATTAATTCCCATTCATTATCAGATTGTATATCACGCAAATTCAAAATCTCATCATTTGACAAATTACAGTCAACTACATCTTTGGCAACTCTAAAGTTTGATAAGGTAGCAGCTAGTGATATCTCATCAACTTGCTTTTGAGGTCGTCCACGTTTGGATAGATGTTGCTAATACTTGTGATACGTAATGAACTTTAAGATAGAGAAATACTTACTACACTAGCTGCAACATAATCGATGGTATGTTTCCTTTGAAATTAATGAGCATGAACTATCATATGGCAGAATCTTTAATTTGTCAAAGTATTGGAGAGCATGTATTGGATCGATAAAATATCCATTTTTTCCTTTGGTGATTGGGGAAGAAATCCTTCATTTTGGTCCAGTAAAAGTGCTGCATCAGGAGCTCTGTATTCACGACAACATTGACAATTCTTATATTTTTTTAGATCCAATGAATATTGACATAACTGGGTATAACGCTCAATCTATTTCCATATTGGGGATACAATATCACCAAATGGTTGACTAATTTGATTGACATAGTGTACTGTTATGGGTTTACCATATATATCATCTCTATTCCAAAGTTTATATAATCTATTTTCTGAAAATTCAAAATTATGCCATGCTAACTCTTCATCTACAACATTTCCTTGAGAATCCAGATGCACACCATATTT